CACGGTGGTGATGTCACACTGTGGTGATGTCACACTGTGGTGATGTCACACTGTGGTGGTGATGTCACACGGTGGTGATGTCACACGGTGGTGATGTCACACGGTGGTGATGTCACACTGTGGTGATGTCACACTGTGGTGATGTCACACGGTGGTGATGTCACACTCGGTCTATAGCCGTGTGAGATTAGAGAAACCAACCTTGGACAGGATCAGGTCTCCTAACCAGCGCACACAGTCCACATAGTTCCTGTGGATGTCGCGGGTGGAGAAGTCCGGGAAGTGGATCTTCTGTGAGACGAACGGTCTGCGCAGACGACAGGAGAAGAAACTGCATCAGACGTGATTTTTTACGGCACAATCCTTCAGCTTCAAAGGGGTTAAGGTAGAAAAGGGACATAGCACTTGATAACTTCTGTGAAATGAGACACATAGAACCAGCTTCTCCTTCACCAAACAGCAGAGGACTAGGCTTGAATGTGGAAGTCTGATGTATTATTATTATTATTATTCAAATCTTCTCAAAGGCAGACGTGGCTCCTGCCGTCACCTGTTGGTCTTTGAAGGGTTGTATTCGTAGGAGCCCCTGATGGCTTTCTGCATCCGCTCCGAGTTGATCCTCCACAGCTTCAGGGAGTGGTCCATCCCACAGGACATGATCTTCTCCCCCAGCAGGTCAAAGTCCTGCGGTGGGACGGAGGACGTGGGTTAGAGACTGAGACTAACCCTAACCAAGATGTATTAAAGGTTTAAGGAAAGAACCGCTCTCTCCACTTTTTGAACCAAACTCTCTGCTCTTATTGGACGAGCTCGTATCACCAGAATGATTGACAGTTGGGAGGACCAATAGTCTTGATGATCCACCCTGAAGTAGAAAATTGTCCTATACGTTTAAAGTTGTTTAATATAACATGAATTATATTATTTATTATGTAGCATGAATGTGCATCAAATGGAACTTTGAAACACTGTTTTCCAGACCTTGAAAAGTCTTGAATTTTGTGTGAAAGTCTTAAAAAAGTATTACTAGCCTACAATAATTAACATTTCTGATAAACACAGTTGATGCTAATGCAGCGTCCTGCGTCTTCTCTTTTACTAAACACCTAAACATTTGACACATTAAAAAGTGTCCGACTCTGACTGTGGAGTTTGGGAATCAAAGATAAAGAGATGAGGAGGCACTCACGGCACTGAGCACTTCGTCTCGGTGTCCTTCCACGCCGCCAAAGATGGCCACCAGAGTGTCCGTCTGGATGTTCCACAGGCGCAGGGCGTGGTCTGCGGTCACAGCACAGAATGGACATGAACACACAGAGAGAGAGAGGGAGGGAGGAGTGAGAGAGAGGGGGAGAGAGAGAGGAGTGAGAGAGGAGTGAGTGAGAGAGAGGGAGAGAGAGGAGTGAGTGAGTGGAGTGAGAGAGAGAGAGGAGTGAGTGAGTGAGGAGTGAGAGAGAGAGGAGTGAGTGAGTGAGGAGTGAGAGAGAGAGGGAGAGAGAGAGGAGTGAGTGAGAGAGGAGTGAGTGAGTGGAGTGAGAGAGAGGAGTGAGTAAGTGAGTGAGAGAGAGAGAGAGAGAGGAGTGAGTGAGAGAGGGAGAGAGAGAGAGGAGTGAGTGAGTGAGAGAGAGGGAGAGTGAGTGAGAGAGTGAGAGAGAGAGAGGAGTGAGAGAGAGAGAGAGTGAGTGAGAGAGAGGGAGAGAGAGGAGTGAGAGAGAGAGGAGTGAGTGAGTGAGAGAGAGGGAGAGTGAGTGAGAGAGTGAGAGAGGAGAGAGAGGAGTGAGTGAGAGGGAGTGTGAGTGAGTGAGAGAGTGAGAGGAGAGAGAGAGAGTGAGAGAGAGAGAGGAGTGAGTGAGAGAGAGAGAGAGAGAGAGTGAGTGAGTGAGTGGAGTGAGAGAGGAGTGAGTGAGTGAGAGAGGAGTGAGTGAGTGAGGAGTGAGTGAGAGAGAGAGAGGAGTGAGTGAGAGAGAGAGAGAGGAGAGAGAGAGAGAGAGAGTGAGTGAGTGAGAGAGGAGAGAGAGAGAGAGAGTGAGTGAGTGAGAGGGAGGAGAGAGAGTGAGGGTGAGTGAGAGAGAGGAGTGAGTGAAAGAGGGAGAGAGAGAGAGTGAGTGAGTGAGTGAGAGGGAGTGTGAGTGAGTGAGTGAGTGAGTGAGTGAGTGAGTGAGAGGGAGTGTGAGTGAGTGAGAGGGAGAGTGAGTGAGTGAGTGAGTGAGTGAGTGAAAGGGAGTGTGAGTGAGTGAGTGAGTGAGTGAGTGAGTGTGAGTGAGTGAGTGAGTGAGTGAGTGAGTGAGAGAGTAGGTAAATAAGTCATGTTTATTTATATGGCGCCTTTCTCAGACCAGGTTTAGAACTGTGGGCATTAGTCTCTCAGTCCACACAGAGATGGGAGCGGGGTCACCTACAGGGGGCGCTGTCAGACCTATTGTACATGTTTTTAGTGGTAGGGGAAACTGGAGCACCCGGAGGAAACCTATGTAGACACGGGGAGAACATGCAAACTCCACTCAGAAAGGCCCTGGTCCGACCGGGATTCAAACCCAGGACCTCTGAGACAACTGCTGTAAATATGGTCCTCTGATGGACAGTTTGGACAGTTTTGACAGTCGGCAGAAAAGTCACAATTTCAAGAAATGTTATGTGGATTTTGTTTTCATTTCTTTTAACCATGCCCTATTCTATTTTCACTTTTTGCACCGAGAACATGGGGCGACAGTGGCTCAGTTGGTAGAGCATTGGCCTTTGAGCCTGAAGGTCGTGGGTTCGAGTCCACCATGAGACTTTCTCCACCGACTCCCACTGGTGTCTGCTGTCGTTGTGTCCTTGGGCAAGACACTTAACCCCACTTTGCCTGAAGCCCCCGCTGAAAGATCTCAGCTCCTGCAGGAGGATCAGTGAGGGGCTGGTGCTCTGTGGACTGTGACTGCCACCTCCAACCCAGAAATGGATTAAGGGGAAGAAAATGAATGGATGCACCGAGAGCCAAAGCAATGTCCTGGTTTGAGACTTGACATAAACCTCAGAGGTAAATTACCGGAGTTAAAGAAACAGATATTTCTCTAATCATTTCATACTGCATTCTGAAAATATCACAATACTGAATATAACTGATTTGTCTCCCACTACTGCTTGTAAACAAGGTAAACAAGGTAAACAAAGTAAACAAGGTAAACAAAGTAAACAAGGTAAACAAAGTAAACAAGGTAAACAAGGTAAACAAGGTAAACAAAGTAAACAAGGTAAACAAAGTAAACAAGGTAAACAAAGTAAACAAGGTAAACAAGGTAAACAAGGTAAACAAAGTAAACAAGGTAAACAAGGTAAACAAGGTAAACAAAGTAAACAAGGTAAACAAAGTAAACAAGGTAAACAAGGTAAACAAGGTAAACAAGGTAAACAAAGTAAACAAGGTAAACAAGGTAAACAAGGTAAACAAAGTAAACAAGGTAAACAAAGTAAACAAGGTAAACAAGGTAAACAAGGTAAACAAGTAAACAAGTAAACAAGGTAAACAAGGTAAACAAGTAAACAAACAAGGTAAACAAAAGGTAAACAAGTAAACAAGGTAAACAAGGTAAACAAGGTAAAACGGTAAAGTAAAGTAAAACAAATAAACAAGGTAAACAAAGTAAACAAGGTAAACAAAGTAAACAAGGTAAACAAGGTAAACAAGGTAAACAAGGTAAACAAAGTAAACAAGGTAAACAAAGTAAACAAGGTAAACAAGGTAAACAAGGTAAACAAAGTAAACAAGGTAAACAAGGTAAACAAAGTAAACAAGGTAAACAAGGTAAACAAAGTAAACAAGGTAAACAAGGTAAACAAAGTAAACAAAGTAAACAAGGTAAACAAGGTAAACAAAGTAAACAAGGTAAACAAAGTAAACAAGGTAAACAAAGTAAACAAAGTAAACAAGGTAAACAAAGTAAACAAGGTAAACAAAGTAAACAAGGTAAACAAAGTAGATGTGAGCGGCAGGAGACTGACTCCATAAACACGTGATCGTTGGATCATAAACGTTACAGAGAACAATAAAAACACCACAACACTATCGCAGCCAGAATAACAGATGTACCTTTGCTAACAGAGCAGTGAATAACAGATGTACCTTTGCTAACAGAGCAGTGGATAACAGATGTACCTTTGCTGACAGAGCAGTGAATAACAGGTGTACCTTTGCTAACAGAGCAGTGGATAACAGGTGTACCTTTGCTGACAGAGAGCAGTGGATAACAGATGTACCTTTGCTAACAGAGCAGTGGATAACAGATGTACCTTTGCTAACAGAGCAGTGGATAACAGATGTACCTTTGCTGACAGAGAGCAGTGGATAACAGATGTACCTTTGCTGACAGAGAGCAGTGGATAACAGGTGTACCTTTGCTAACAGAGAGCAGTGGATAACAGATGTACCTTTGCTAACAGAGAGCAGTGGATAACAGGTGTACCTTTGCTGACAGAGCAGTGGATAACAGATGTACCTTTGCTAACAGAGAGCAGTGGATAACAGGTGTACCTTTGCTGACAGAGAGCAGTGGATAACAGATGTACCTTTGCTAACAGAGAGCAGTGGATAACAGGTGTACCTTTGCTAACAGAGAGCAGTGGATAACAGATGTACCTTTGCTAACAGAGAGCAGTGGATAACAGGTGTACCTTTGCTGACAGAGAGCAGTGGATAACAGATGTACCTTTGCTAACAGAGAGCAGTGGATAACAGGTGTACCTTTGCTGACAGAGAGCAGTGGATAACAGATGTACCTTTGCTAACAGAGAGCAGTGGATAACAGATGTACCTTTGCTGACAGAGAGCAGTGGATAACAGATGTACCTTTGCTGACAGAGAGCAGTGGATAACAGGTGTACCTTTGCTAACAGAGAGCAGTGGATAACAGGTGTACCTTTGCTGACAGAGAGCAGTGGATAACAGATGTACCTTTGCTAACAGAGAGCAGTGGATAACAGGTGTACCTTTGCTAACAGAGAGCAGTGGATAACAGGTGTACCTTTGCTAACAGAGAGCAGTGGATAACAGATGTACCTTTGCTGACAGAGAGCAGTGGATAACAGATGTACCTTTGCTGACAGAGAGCAGTAGGTTTGGGTCCCGGGGATGAAACTTCAGTTCGTTGATAGCATTTCCATGACCCACATAATGCTGAGAACAAGAAAGAAAAGTACAAAATCATTAGAACATTTGAAAAAGACAGAGATCCGAGAGCGACGGTGCAGGACGTGCTTTGATGCACTGCATGGTGATGTGGTTGATGACCCGGATGATGCCTCTGGAGCCGGCCACAGCCAGCAGAGGGTGGCTGGTGTTGGTGTCGTAGGTCCAGGCACAAGTGTAGAAGTTCTCATCGGCCTGAGCACACTCGGGTCAAGGAAAGGCCACAGTCCAAAACAGTTTAACAGTCTAAAGCAGTCTAAAGTCTAAAACAGTCTAAAGCAGTCATCTCAGGAAGGAGGCAGAGACCCAGAGAACACAGGGGGCTTCTAGTGTCTGAAGCAGGGGTGGGCAACTATTCTACTGCGGGCCATACTGGGATATCGGTAAATTAGGGGTATAATGATTTACATATTTGAGTGAAATCTACAAAAAATGTAGCAAAAATGTGTGTATTTGCAGAAGAAAAGGAGAAAGAAACCTGAAGATATCCCATGTTTGGCTGAGTATTACTTTTGTTAACCTTTTACAACATGGAAATATACATTTGAGCTGTCCTAGATTTCAATTCTCGCTTGGATTGAATCGAAGCTTGACAAAGATTAAGATGGCTGAGTATTGTGGGCAGATGACTTCATAGGAACAGTGACTCCCATTCATTTAGAAGGAAGTCCTGAAGGCCACATAGAATCGTGGATTGGGCAGCACTTTGTCAGGTCCAAAGGATACATCAGCGTCTACATAAGACTGCAGCAGGCGGATTTCTCCCTGAGAGTGACATTCGTACAGAGTTACCTGGAAAAAAAACAGCATTAAAACCAGATCAGACCGTTAAAAACAGTAAGACGGTCTGTCTTGCTGAAGATAATCCCTTCGTGCTTTACCCTGTTGCTGCCCACAGTCGCAAACACGAGCGGGTCGCCTTCTTTACTGTTCCAATTGAACTGGACCCCGAACAGCGGCTGCCCGTGGTCCTCCTGCACGACACCAGTGTGATTAGTTACACAACGAGATGCATGAATGCTGTGTAGAGTTTTGCCCGTTACCCTGAGGCTGTTGACGCATTTGAACGAGTATCTGCACTTCTTGGACTTCCACTTGCCCTTGCCCCAGCTCTTTTTCCCCGGGGCGTTGGCGGTGTTTGTGGGGGTGTCTGGGCGCTCTGTGTTGGGTCCACTCTCCACGCTGACAGCATCGTCCTGGAGCAAACATGGGCACTTTGAACACGACTGCAGTTCCACCCCAAAACAAATAACAAACATGATCTTCTGTATTTTATTTTTTAGATAAAGCTTGGGTGCCTAGCTGGACTCCATTTTTGTATCCCCCCCTTTATTTCTTTCATAAATAATATATGCAGTTTGTTCCAAGAATCTTGTAAAAGTTAATTAGATCAGCTGAGGGAGAGTGGTCCTCTTATCTTACCTCTTAAGTATTTTTTACTTTTCATAACTATATAGATCCATAAGTATTGCTTCTATAACGGCGCTCTCACTTCTGTATGTATGACGCTGCAACACAGAAATGTACCCACAGTGGAACAAAACAGTTATTTGTATTAGCGCCGTTTCCACATACCCTACTTGATTGGTCCTACTCTACCCGTACCGGTCCTGTTTGAGGAGTATCAGGTTCTTTGGTCCCACTTGAGCTTGGTTCTATCCAGGCAGAGGTGGTACTAAAGTGTGTTGAGATTGATTGGCCGGAGTGCTGCTGGGAGCCATGGTTACCAAGGAATTTCCCCGGATCCTGCTTTATTGTAGGTAGGTTGCTAAGATATGGCACCATATGAAGCACCATGGAAACGACACCAGGTACCAGAGTAGAGCCGAGTTGAGTAGGGCCAAGTAGGGCTGGCTAAACAGGACAAAGTTACATATTTCGTTGTGATTCGTTGTCTATAAATATCAGACTCCCACAGGCCATGACAGAACATCCTACAGCAGGACAATGTCCCAGTGTAAGTGCACCTTAAACAGGCTCAGAACTGCTGCAGGCTTCACACGTTACTGTAATTACTATGATTGTATTTACACATGTCACATGCTGTTCGCTAGTCTAAACATGTGTCCATATCTGCTGAATGTGTGGCTAATGTGGATCCACGTGAATGTCAACATGAGTGCACAAGTTTTTATGATTATATAAAACAGACACTGGTCAATCACGACTCAATAATCACACGTTTGACAAAATAGGTCTAAGTGGAAAAGTAGATGTATGAACCAAGCCGGGTGCACGAGGACAATGCTGTGTTCAGCTAGCCGCTATGCTAGCAGTTGTTTAGCTAGCCGCTATGCTAGCAGTTGTTCAGCTAACCGCTATGCTAGCAGTTGTTTAGCTAACCGCTATGCTAGCAGTTGTTCAGCTAACCGCTATGCTAGCAGTTGTTTAGCTAGCCGCTATGCTAGCAGTTGTTTAGCTAGCCGCTATGCTAGCAGTTGTTTAGCTAGCCGCCGATGCTAGCAGTTGTTTAGCTAGCCGCCGATGCTAGCAGTTGTTCAGCTAACCGCTATGCTAGCAGTTGTTTAGCTAACCGCTATGCTAGCAGTTGTTCAGCTAACCGCTATGCTAGCAGTTGTTTAGCTAGCAGTTGTTTAGCTAGCCGCCGATGCTAGCAGTTGTTTAGCTAGCAGTTGTTTAGCTAGCCGCCGATGCTAGCAGTTGTTCAGCTAGCCGCTATGCTAGCAGCCTGCTTTAGCATGTTGCTAACCGGCTGCACGTGACTCTCGGGCTCTTACGTTGTCGTCCCCGGACAGGTCGGACTTGCTGTTCTCGTCACTGCTGAGCTTCTGTTTCTTCGCTGGTGTTTCCTTTCCCGCAGGAGAAGGAGACTCAGACATGTTCTTATTTTCCCTCATTTTGGCTCAAACTCCGCCTTTTCCGGTCTGAACAGGAAGCTCATCATCATCATGCGCGACAATAAAACACAACACACTTTACTTTACTTGATGTTACTCGTTAAACACCAGAGACTGTCATAAGAACATGATATTTTATTTTAAAAAACATTTACAAAATGGTGTACATGTGTAGACAGTTACAGAATCATCTCTGCCTCCTCCACAGATGCTTCACTCCTCTCCTCAGACATGTCTTCATCCTCCTCATCCTCCTCTTCCTCGTCCACTGCCCTCTTCCCTCCACTCTGTTTGGACAGGGCCAGAGCATAGCGGATGTTGTATTTGTTGAAGTCACACCTAAAGATAACGGGATATATATAGCATGAATAGTACAGAATAATAACGTTTACCCTCTGAAAAACATAGAACTAGCACTAATCCATACATCTGTCTCTAATAGGTTAGACTACTGTGACAGCGGGCTCACTGCAGCTCCAGTCCTGACTAGAACCAGGACCTATGACCACATTAGTCCTGACTAGAACCAGGAAGTACGACCACATTAGTCCTGACTAGAACCAGGAAGTACGACCACATTAGTCCTGACTAGAACCAGGAAGTACGACCATATTAGTCCTGACTAGAACCAGGAAGTACGACCACATTAGTCCTGACTAGAACCAGGAAGTACGACCACATTAGTCCTGACTAGAACCAGGACCTATGACCACATTAGTCCTGACTAGAACCAGGAAGTACGACCACATTAGTCCTGACTAGAAACAGGAAGTACGACCACATTAGTCCTGACTAGAACCAGGAAGTACGACCACATTAGTCCTGACTAGAACCAGGAAGTACGACCACATTAGTCCTGACTAGAACCAGGAAGTACAACCACATTAGTCCTGACTAGAACCAGGAAGTACGACCACATTAGTCCTGACTAGAACCAGGAAGTACGACCACATTAGTCCTGACTAGAACCAGGAAGTACGACCACATTAGTCCTGACTAGAACCAGGAAGTACGACCACATTAGTCCTGACTAGAACCAGGAAGTACGACCACATTAGTCCTGACTAGAAACAGGAAGTACGACCACATTAGTCCTGACTAGAACCAGGAAGTACGACCACATTAGTCCTGACTAGAACCAGGAAGTACGACCACATTAGTCCTGACTAGAACCAGGAAGTACGACCACATTAGTCCTGACTAGAACCAGGAAGTACGACCACATTAGTCCTGACTAGAACCAGGAAGTACGACTACATTAGTCCTGACTAGAACCAGGAAGTACGACCACATTAGTCCGGTCCTCAGGTCTCTGCACTGGCTTCCTGTGGCTCAGAGAATAGACTTTAAAACAGCTCTGCTTGTTACAAGTCTCTCCATGGCCTCGCACCAAAATATATTAGTGACATGTTAGTCCCATATGAACCAGCCCGGACTCTGAGGAGCACAGGGACTGGACTCCTGCTGGGACTCTGAGGAGCACAGGGACTGGCCTCCTGCTGGGACTCTGAGGAGCACAGGGACTGGACTCCTGCTGGGACTCTGAGGAGCACAGGGACTGGCCTCCTGCTGGGACTCTGAGGAGCACATGACTGGCCTCCTGCTGGGACTCTGAGGAGCACAGGGACTGGACTCCTGCTGGGACTCTGAGGAGCACAGGGACTGGACTCCTGCTGGGACTCTGAGGAGCACAGGGACTGGACTCCTGCTGGGACTCTGAGGAGCACAGGGACTGGACTCCTGCTGGGACTCTGAGGAGCACAGGGACTGGACTCCTGCTGGGACTCTGAGGAGCACAGGGACTGGACTCCTGCTGGGACTCTGAGGAGCACAGGGACTGGACTCCTGCTGGGACTCTGAGGAGCACAGGGACTGGCCTCCTGCTGGGACTCTCAGGAGCACAGGGACTGGCCTCCTGCTGGGACTCTGAGGAGCACAGGGACTGACCTCCTAATGGGACTCTGAGGAGCACAGGGACTGGCCTCCTAATGGGACTCTGAGGAGCACAGGGACTGGCCTCCTGCTGGGACTCTGAGGAGCACAGGGACTGGCCTCCTGCTGGGACTCTGAGGAGCACAGGGACTGGCCTCCTGCTGGGACTCTGAGGAGCACAGGGACTGGACTCCTGCTGGTCCCAGAGTCAGGGCTAAACATGGGGAGGCTGCATTGTAGATTCATGCTGCTCAAATCTGTCTTCCTAAAAATGTGAGACTGGTTAAAAACAGTTCTGTTTAGCTGAGAAGTGACGACTGTATCATTACTCTTTAATGTACTGTTATTATTTCTATGTTTACTTTGTGTATGAACTGTGAAATACAAATACACTTTTCTATTAGAACACAGACTTACAGCTTGGACAGACTGTCGTAGTGTCTCTGGATGGCCTTCTGCAGAGCCTGAAGAGTAGGAAGGATGGTGCTCGATCTGCAAAATACAAACAGTTAAGAATGAGGTATACTTTACCCTCCTGTGCATTTGACCCATCCTTCCAAAGTCACTATGTCCGGTGCACTTGACCCATCCTTCCATCACCACTATGTCCTGTGCACTTGACCCATCCTTCCAACACCACTATGTCCTGTGCATTTGACCCATCCTTCCAACGCCACTATGTCCTGTGCACTTGACCCATCCTTCCAAAGTCACTATGTCCGGTGCACTTGACCCATCCTTCCATCACCACTATGTCCTGTGCACTTGACCCATCCTTCCAACACCACTATGTCCTGTGCACTTGACCCATCCTTCCAACACCACTATGTCCTGTGCATTTGACCCATCCTTCCAACACCACTATGTCCTGTGCATTTGACCCATCCTTCCAACACCACTATGTCCTGTGCACTTGACCCATCCTTCCAACGCCACTATGTCCTGTGCACTTGACCCATCCTTCCAACGCCACTATGTCCTGTGCATTTGACCCATCCTTCCAACGCCACTATGTCCTGTGCATTTGACCCATCCTTCCAACGCCACTATGTCCTGTGCACTTGACCCATCCTTCCAAAGTCACTATGTCCGGTGCACTTGACCCATCCTTCCATCACCACTATGTCCTGTGCACTTGACCCATCCTTCCAACACCACTATGTCCTGTGCACTTGACCCATCCTTCCAACACCACTATGTCCTGTGCATTTGACCCATCCTTCCAACACCACTATGTCCTGTGCATTTGACCCATCCTTCCAACACCACTATGTCCTGTGCACTTGACCCATCCTTCCAACGCCACTATGTCCTGTGCACTTGACCCATCCTTCCAACGCCACTATGTCCTGTGCATTTGACCCATCCTTCCAACGCCACTATGTCCTGTGCATTTGACCCATCCTTCCAACGCCACTATGTCCGGTGCATTTGACCCATCCTTCCAAAATCACTATGTCCTGTGCACTTGACCCATCCTTCCAACACCACTATGTCCTGTGCACTTGACCCATCCTTCCAACGCCACTATGTCCTGTGCATTTGACCCATCCTTCCAACGCCACTATGTCCTGTGCATTTGACCCATCCTTCCAACGCCACTATGTCCGGTGCATTTGACCCATCCTTCCAAAATCACTATGTCCTGTGCACTTGACCCATCCTTCCAACACCACTATGTCCTGTGCACTTGACCCATCCTTCCAACGCCACTATGTCCTGTGCATTTGACCCATCCTTCCAACGCCACTATGTCCTGTGCATTTGACCCATCCTTCCAACGCCACTATGTCCTGTACATTTGACCCCTCCTTCCAACGCCACTATGTCCTGTGCACTTGACCCATCCTTCCAACGCCACTATGTCCTGTACATTTGACCCATCCTTCCAACACCACTATGTCCTGTGCACTTGACCCATCCTTCCAACGCCACTATGTACTGTGCATTTGACCCATCCTTCCAACGCCACTATGTCCTGTGCATTTGACCCATCCTTCCAACGCCACTATGTCCGGTGCATTTGACCCATCCTTCCAAAATCACTATGTCCTGTGCACTTGACCCATCCTTCCAACACCACTATGTCCTGTGCACTTGACCCATCCTTCCAACGCCACTATGTCCTGTGCATTTGACCCATCCTTCCAACGCCACTATGTCCTGTGCATTTGACCCATCCTTCCAACGCCACTATGTCCGGTGCATTTGACCCATCCTTCCAAAATCACTATGTCCTGTGCACTTGACCCATCCTTCCAACACCACTATGTCCTGTGCACTTGACCCATCCTTCCAACGCCACTATGTCCTGTGCATTTGACCCATCCTTCCAACGCCACTATGTCCTGTGCATTTGACCCATCCTTCCAACGCCACTATGTCCTGTGCATTTGACCCATCCTTCCAACGCCACTATGTCCTGTGCATTTGACCCATCCTTCCAACGCCACTATGTCCTGTGCATTTGACCCATCCTTCACCATGTCCCCACACTCCTTCACTCTCTCACCTGTTCTTGAGTTTCTGCCCGTGCAGCATGAGCAGGTTCTGGGCCCAGCTCATGTAGAACTGAAGATGACCGGACTTTTCTAGACACGACGCAATGAAACCCAACAGTTTCTCCACATAGACGTCCGGCAGAGTCCCACACACCACTCCGACTGAAACACATAGAACCCATGTGACTCAGGGTTAGGGTTATGATCTTATTCATGAATGAGTTGGAGTTTAGTCCAAAGTTCAATGATGGTTGACCCAGAAACCTACTTTTGAAGAGTTGAAATCTATAATGGGCCCGAGGCGTTGGCTGTTTATGTTTTTAATCCCATGTGTGATTTTATTTTTTATTTTTTTAAATTTTCTTGTGATCTCATTGTGTGTTTTTAATGTCCTCTGGGATTCTAACTGTATTGTTAATGTTTATGTAGATTTTAATGTCTACAATTGATGCCTGATGTGGGTTGTGAGGCACTTTGTGTTGCCTTGTGTAGGAAAGGCGCTCTACAAACAAAAGTTGATTGATTGATCTTTAGCCTGGGCTTATTGAAAAGTCTGGTCCACAAGTAAAAAATAACTAGTCTTTGTCTGATTGTAAGCTGGACAAAACCACAAAAAGTCATTTTTTTAGCTTAACTGACAGGATGCAGTGTGACTAAACATTCGTCCAAATGACTTTTTGCGGTCTACCATCAATCACACAAACACGTTGCAGTCTCACTCTGGTCGTGGGGGACAGTTTCTATGACTTCCTGCTTGAGGGCCCTCTCGTTGAGCCTGAACGCCAACACGATGGCTGAGGTCCATTCCTTCAGTCGCAGCTGTTTGCGGATACTCTCCGGCGTCACGTCCAGGTCCAGGTCGTAGGGATCGAACACCATGGAGCCGTCCAGCGAGTAGACCAGCAGGCCCTCGGTGCTGGTGGCCGCCCAACTCCGGCCTGAAAACATCACATTCTGAGAAAACTGAAGCTTTCTGCTGCGTGAGGGCGAGCCGAGAAGGACGTACCAGTCGGAGAGAAACGCAGAGACGATACTCGGATCTCGGGTTTGAAGTGTCTGGAGCTCATGTCACCTGCAGAAGAGGAGAATGTGGGTACGTTTTCAATTCAATGTGTTTATTGTGTAGCCCTAAATGTCAAAGGCAGTCGTCTGGGAGGACTGTACAAAGTTGATTCTCCAACAACAGCTTGTAGAATCAAACGGTTCAAACTAGGGAGCGAGATGTCCACGTCCCGGATGATCACTGAGCTTAGACCCTCCCGCATTGGCAAGGAACGACTTGAAAAACCGGGTGGGAAAAAAGGGAGAAACCTCGAGAAAGGAGAGAGGACAGACACAGGCAGTGAGATCTGAGTCTCAAAGCGGTTTACAATTGTTCATTTTTGGGCATTAGTCTCTCACTCCACACAGAGATGGGAGGGGCCAGTACAGGAGGCGCATGCCAGAACTATTGGACATATTTTTAGTGGTAGGGGAAACCGGAGCACCCGGAGGAAACCTACGCAGACACGGGGAGAACATGCAAACTCCACTCAGAAAGGCCCCGGTCCGACCGGGATTCGAACCCAGGACCTTCTTGCTGAGAGGCGAGAGTGCTATCCACTCAGCCACTGTGCCGCCCCAGTAGATCCAGGACTTAGGCTGTAGAAGGACTGAGGAGACTCTGGGTACATTGTGTGGTTGTTGGTTCCTTCCTGAGACCTACCCTTACGGACTCCAGGCAGGCTGATGTTCACGCCCTCTCCGTCTCCTGCTCCGTCGTCCACCAGAGCCAGACTGCCAAACTCCGTCATCTTGCGCCGGTCCAAAAACTCCTGAATATTAACAGTGAAGAGTTTAGACTTTATCAAAACAGTAAACACATATTTAAAATATGTAGGACAAATACAGGGCTCTCACCAGGACTTTAACAGCTTTCATTTTAACACAGTCAAAACGAAAGCAGAGAGAAGGAGCCATAATATATATTTTTTAGACGAGGACTATTTATTTTTCTTCCTTTCTCCATTAGATACTGATACAGAACCTCTTGAAAGTATTAATACACCTTGAACGTTTGCAAATTTGGTAATGTTTACAGCCATAAAGATGTAAGTATAAATAAAGCAATAACCACTGAAGTGAAAGCAAAAGGATCTGTTACTTGTCTGTAAACTTTCAGCAAAAAATGTCAGTCTTAAAAAAACCAAATACAGAATCAAAAACAAAATTCCCAGCAGTGTAAGGGTAAAAACTTAAAGGAAAAAGAAGAACCAGAGAAAGTGTTGGAGAGAACCCTGATGCGTCTGTGGTGCAGGTACTTTCAGACCTCCATTGCATCGAAGGACAGGTTACAGGAGATCTCAAACTTCTTCATCAACATCTGCTCCTTCACGTTATAGATACACACAAACTTGGACTGCCCTCCGGCCAAGATGGCCTCCCCGTCGGCCGAGTAGCACAGGGACGTGAAAGACCTGCGACATAAAGGCATGAAGTCATAAGAGTGAATGCAGCCTGGTATTTCAACACAATAGCCCTGTTTCCACCGACCTGACTCGGCTCGGCTCTACTCTACCTGGTTGCATTTACATTACACTTTAGTATCTAGCCTAGCAACCTACACACAACAAACCAGTATTCGGGAAAAATCCCTTGGTAAGTTCCTTCCAGCAGCACTGTCTGTCAGAACACTTTAGGACCAGCTTGGCCTGGATAGAACCAGGACCAAGAGGGACTAAAGAAGGACCTGGGACTGGTTACACAGGGAAATACTACTAATTGGGATGAAGTAGAGTCGAGAAGAGTAGAGTAGAGTAGCAGAGGGCTGGTGGAAACGGGGCTAATGTACAATGAAAGCCGATCCGTGGGTAGCGAGGCAGGCTCGGCTGGTCTCACTCACTTGCCCTTGGCGGTCTGCTTGGCGGTGACCTTGTCCGTCTCTTTGCGCCCCAGCTCCAGGTCGTGGCGTCCGGACACTGTGCCGGTCTGTGCGGCGCTCTGAGGGCTCCAGAATGAGAGCTCTCCGTTCAGAGTCGCCACCGCCAACTCCTGACCGTCCGGCCTGTACGTCACTGCCAGACCTGAGGGCAAAGGTTCAATTAACACTCAGAGAAACTACTAGAGCTCAGAGAATCTACTAGAGCTCAGAGAATCTACTAGAGCTCAGAGAAACTACTAGAGCTCAGAGAAACTACTAGAGCTCAGAGAATCTACTAGAGCTCAGAGAAACTACTAGAGCTCAGAGAAACTACTAGAGCTCAGAGAAACTACTAGAGCTCAGAGAAACTACTAGAGCTCAGAGAAACTACTAGAGCTCAGAGAATCTACTAGAGCTCAGAGAATCTACTAGAGCTCAGAGAATCTACTAGAGCTCAGAGAAACTACTAGAGCACTACTAGAGCTCAGAGAAACTACTAGAGCTCAGAGAAACTACTAGAGCTCAGAGAAACTACTAGAGCTCAGAGAAACTACTAGAGCTCAGAGAAACTAGTAGAGCTCAGAGAAACTACTAGAGCTCAGAGAAACTACTAGAGCTCAGAGAAACTACTAGAGCACTACTAGAGCTCAGAGAAACTACTAGAGCACTACTAGAGCTCAGAGAAACTACTAGAGCTCAGAGAAACTACTAGAGCTCAGAGAATCTACTAGAGCTCAGAGAATCTACTAGAGCTCAGAGAAACTACTAGAGCTCAGAGAAACTACTAGAGCTCAGAGAAACTAGAGCTCAGAGAAACTACTAGAGCTCAGAGAAACTACTAGAGCTCAGAGAATCTACTAGAGCTCAGAGAATCTACTAGAGCTCAGAGAAACTACTAGAGCTCAGAGAATCTACTAGAGCTCAGAGAATCTACTAGAGCTCAGAGAATCTACTAGAGCTCAGAGAAACTACTAGAGCTCAGAGAAACTACTAGAGCTCAGAGAAACTAGAGCTCAGAGAAACTACTAGAGCTCAGAGAAACTACTAGAGCTCAGAGAATCTACTAGAGCTCAGAGAAACTACTAGAGCACTACTAGAGCTCAGAGAAACTACTAGAGCTCAGAGAAACTACTAGAGCTCAGAGAAACTACTAGAGCTCAGAGAAACTAGTAGAGCTCAGAGAAACTACTAGAGCTCAGAGAAACTACTAGAGCTCAGAGAAACTACTAGAGCACTACTAGAGCTCAGAGAAACTACTAGAGCACTACTAGAGCTCAGAGAAACTACTAGAGCTCAGAGAAACTACTAGAGCTCAGAGAATCTACTAGAGCTCAGAGAAACTACTAGAACTCATAGAAACTACTAGAGCTCAAAGAAACTACTAGAGCTCAGAGAAACTACTAGAGCTCAGAGAAACTACTAGAGCTCAGAGAAACTACTAGAGCTCAGAGAATCTACTAGAGCTCAGAGAAACTACTAGTCATTTTGATTGCTCCGATTCAGACCAATGGAATTCTGAGAAATTTCCCCCAATAATTATATGAATATTTGTAACTATACTATATAATATTAACCATAAGCACAAAAGGTATTTTAACATATCTCACTTTAAATAAGTGCTAAAACTGGTTAAAACAACTTACAAGAACAGAAAAGTGTATTGAACGACTCGCTAATGCTAACTGCTGATAGTAAACAGTGTTTCTATGGTAACCAGCATTTCTAGAACTGACAGAACCACTACCATTTTCCAAATAAAAGATGTTTTGATAAATAATGACAGACATACACTACATATAAATACAGAACATGTCACAAAGTTAGAAACACCAAAAATAGAAATTCCAATTCTTCAAATTGACTGCTCTGAGTCCCAGTGTTAAATCCTGATAACCGTGCGTACCGTCTGAAGTCAGGGCCAGCGTCTCTTTGACCTGCCAGCTGTCCAACATGTCCCACAGACGCACGGTCTTGTCCCACGAGGCGCTGGCCAGAACCGACTGGACCGGGCTGAAGCACAGGGACGAGACCGGGCCCTCGTGACCCCCCAGGACCTGAACACAACAACACAATAACAACTCGCCATCGCTAACGTTCAGGGGACGCCAAGAAGCTGCAGGTACCTCCAGGAGCCGCCCCGTCTGCATGGACCACAGGAAGATCTCAAACGAGTCCTGGGCCCCAGCGCTCACCAGCTCTCCACTGCCATCCACTGCCAGGGAGGAGAACTGCGCCGGGCGGGGGGACGTGAAGGTGCGGAAGTTTCGGTACCTTTACAACAAACAAACATCTTTAGTCAGTGTGTGTGTGTGTGTGTGTGTGTGTGTGTGTGTGTGTGTGTGTGTGTGTGTGTGTGTGTGTGTGTGTGTGTGTGTGTGTGTGTGTGTGTGTGTGTGTGTGTGTGTGTGTTTCAAGGTGAGTAATAAATCTGATTTAGAGAGTAACCATGGTGACGGGTCTATGACTAAAGTGATAACCAAATTTGCAAAACCAAATTTGTTTTGTTTCTAGCTTTAGCATAACAAGGAAGAAAATCTAAAATCTCTAACTTTGGCTTAATGAAGAAGCAAGAATTAAGAAAAAAGCCTCTAACATAATAATCTTCAGTGCTGTGTCCCGTTAACATCCTAAACAGAGGGTTGTGGCGCTCACCTGTGCAGGTCGAAGGCCCGGACCGTCCCGTCCAGAGAGGCGCTGACCACCACCATCCCGCTGGAGGTGAACGTGACCTGGGACACGCTGCTGCTGTGCTCCGTGAACGTCACGAAGCACAGGCTGCTGTTACTGTTCCACACCTTCACCTGTCCAGAGGAAAACAGACGGATTGGAGCAGCGTCTGCAGTCAGAGCTCTACGTTCCCTCCCTCACCTCTTGTCATGAGCTCTGTAGCATTTATGGCTAATGTGTTGTTCATAATTTAGCAGCAGTCAATCTGTTCTTTTAGTAGTTTGTCGATAAAGTTAAGATGTGACGTCACTTCTTGTTTACAAAACGCTGTAGAGGCAGAGGTCGGACGCTGCAGCTACAGAATCTAGATCCAACTTCTGCTAAAGACTGAGATTAGACTGAGATACGACTGACATTAGACCGAGATTAGACCGAGATTAGGCCGAGATAAAACCGAGATTAGACCGAGATTAGACTGAGATTAGACCGAGATAAAACTGAGATTAGACCGAGATTAGACTGAGATTAGACTGAGATACGACTGACATTAGACCGAGATTAGACCGAGATTAGACCGAGATAAGACCGAGATTAGACCGAGATTAGACTGAGATTAGACTGAGATAAAACTGAGATTAGACCGAGATTAGACCGAGATTAGACTGAGATTAGACTGAGATTAGACTGAGATAAAACTGAGATTAGACCGAGATTAGACTGAGATAAAACTGAGATTAGACTGAGATAATACTGAGATAAACAGGAGATAATTATGTAAAGAAACTACACCTCTCAGTCTCTTTTTCTAGACCAGCGTTTATTTTTCTGTTTTGTCCGCGGCCCCTACACCCGTCCATAACCGTCTCCGTCGTGGTGCGAGCCCTGACCTTGCCGTCGTCTCCCCCGGTGGCGATGAACTGTCCGTCCGGCGAGTAGGCCAGAGACGCCATGTTGTTGAAGTGTCCCTGCTGTTTGAAGACGTAGGACTCACTCTGCCACTCCCACACCAGCAGCTGGCCCCTCCCTGCGGACACACAGGACCCACGCAGACACTAAATACAAACGTGCGTGGTTATGGCGGCGAACGCAGACTCACGGGAGCAGCCGAAGCCGATCCAGTCTCCGGAGCTGTTGATGGCCACGGAGGAGATTCTCTGGTCCGAGATGCTGCAACACAAACCACACCGAGTGAACGAGGAAGTCTGTGATTAGGATTAGTTCATATCTCTCTGACTGAAACCTCAAAGTGCTAAAACTGGTGAATGTAACTTAGAAATAGAGCAATAGGTTTGTGTCAAAGGCTAAAGGATATGGGTTGCTATGGTAACACCTTCTCAGTGTTGCGTCACCTGTAAACCCTGACAAGTAAAGTCAACTTGAAAAAACCTTATTTGACATAAATTGCGCATGAACTTAACTTAATCCCTCAAGTACATTCTTAACTTGAAGTGAACTCCATTAATATAATATACTGTAATAAAGTTTGACTGTGATTTCTACTAATACATCAGAAAGGTCCTGCTCTGACTGGGATTCGAACTCAGAACCTTTGTGCAGAGAAGAGAAGGTGCTAACCACTCAGCCACGTGCCGCCCTGCTCTGTACATACCTGACATTCTGAAAACTCTACTTATTTGAACAGAGACAGTTCAATTCAGAGAAGGCTCAGAGTGATTTAGCCAAACTTTAAATAAAATAACAATGAACCATTAATATTTACTCACCGGGAAATGTCTATTTAAAATAACTTTGAAATCTAAAGTAAGATTGAAGTGAGGGTTAGGAGCACACAGCACAATAATAAGTCTTTACTGAATAAGATGCTCGTGTTAGCATTGTATGAACTCTATCTTTAGCTCTGGGAGGTCATGGCAGAACTAACACTGACTACAAACGTACATGAGCCGTATACAGACTTGGGCTTGTTCACACTAAAGGGCACAAAAGTGTGACAAAAGGCCAAAAATTTGATTTTAATAATCAGAAGATATTTTATGTTTTTTATGTTTCCAACACCTCCTCTGTCCATTAGAAGTTTCTAGAACATAACTGTTTTATACATTAGACAAGTTTCCTGTAGCGGCCATGTTTATTTTATGTAACGGTGATGATTTGACGGAATGAGCTTTGTGGAAGTTTGATGGTATTTTCAGATGTCCACATTTGATTCAGAGATTTTATTTTTTTACACAAAGTAGATGCAAAGTGATACTTTCATATTATCAACCAATTAAATGTGAAAACAGACCAGATTTTTTTTTTCTCAAGTTTAATTTTTAGAGAAAAGAGGACCGTCCTCATCACGTCCGTTATACATTTTTCAGGGGTCATTTAATTCATTAATTAATTTTTATTTTTTCACGATTCCTTTTTATATGAAGTGATTTCCTTCTGTTGTGTTCATGTAAATCTTGTGGGATTTCATCTTCTGCTTTTTCAGACTGAGGACATTTTATTTCCTATGTAACTGGCGTCACAGTAGAATGGTCCAATCAGAGGCTCATTTGGTCGTTTAAAATGTTGCTAAACATTTTTATGACAATCTTTCCTTTTGATTTTTTCCACACTATCTCTTCAATCTGTCTGTGTTTGAAATCTTTTTTCCAATCTATTGAAGAAAGTTCAGTTTTTAAGTTATAACCTTTTATAACCAGGTCTCTGCACTGGCTTCCTGTGGCTCAGAGAATAGATTTTAAAGTAGCTTTACTTGTGTACAAGTCTCTCCATGGCCTCGCACCAGGGTACATCCGCGACATGTTGGTGCCATATGAACCAACTCGGGCTCTGAGGAGCACAGGGACTGGACTCCTGTTAGTGCCAAGAGTCGGAACTAGACATGGGGAGGCTGCGTTTCAGATTCATGCAGCTAGAGTCTGGAACCGTCTTCCCGAGAGTGTGAGACAGGCGTCTACTCTAGCAGTTTTTAAAACTGAACTGAAAACAGTTCTTTTTAGCTGTGCATACAAGTGAATGATTTTATATTTGTTTTTATCTTTAATCTTTTTAATGTGCTATGATTATTTATGATTGTAATCCCTTGTGTGATTTTAATGTTTTACGGTTTTTAACTACTTGTGTGATTTTATATATCTTGTGCTCTTAATCTGTCTTTTTATGTTTACTTAAATTCTAATGTTTGATGATTTATGCATGATGTTATATGGGTTGTGAGGCGCTTTGCGTTGCCTTGTGTAGGAAAGGCGCTCTATAAATAAACGTTGATTGATTGATTGATTGATTAAAGTCCAGATACTTCAATTGTCACTTTACTGTGAACACACTCACTTCTAAAGCCTCATGGAGTCCTGGTGTTACTGAGCGTGTCTGACCTGAGGGAGTGGATGAGGTTGAACTCCGGCAGCTCGTGGAGGTGGAAGATTCCGGAGGCGAATCCCGTGACCAGGATGTGTGTGGGTTTATGGAAGGCGGCGGAGGTCAGGTTGTTGAAGTCTCCCTCTTTATTAAAGAAGTGTCTGACAAACAAAACAGCCGTCGTCATCAAACAGACTGCACAAGGTCACAACATAACCCCATCAAACCATAAGAGGACTGACAGAGTGTGACATCACCACGGTGCTAGCCGCGAAGCAGAAGGAGCCGATTTCAACGTTAGCTAGCTGTGGTCGTATCACTTTTATGGGAGTTTGATGTGACGGCTTTAGTTTTTCGGACGTGTTGCTAAGACGGTTGCTAAGGCAAGCTGGAGTTTCCCCTGTGTCTTGTCTAGATTTACAAAAACGAGATTAAAATATGAACACCTGGATCACAAAGAGCGCTAAAGCACAATTACTGAGCAAAAAGGGGTTTACTTCCTGAGCTAGCCTAGCGGGTTAGCATTGTCCATGTGTACAGTCTATGTGAGGTCATACAGATGAGATAATGTTATTGTTGTTATTAGCCTTACTTGCTGGCCTGCTTGTAGCGGACGTTCTTGGTCAGCTCCTGGTCTTTCTTGCTGTGCACCTTGCCCCTGATGACCTCGCCCTCCTGCCCCTCCATCCGCTCTTCCTCCTCGTCCTCCTCGTCTTCCTCTCGCTGCTCGGTCGGTTTCTTCTGTTTCTTGGTCAGGACTAAACCGTCTGGCTCGGTGTCGCTCTCCCAGATGCACAGAGCCCCGTCCTGGCTCACGGTGTACAACTGAGGAAAGAAGATTCAACTCAACACACTACAAATGTAAATATAAATACAAAAATATAAATAAATGTATCTATGAAACAAAAAAACATTTAGCAACTCTGCTTTAGGAACAGTAAGTTAAACGTCTGCTTTGTTTCACAGACGGAGTACTCACATCCAGACTGTCTTTCTCAAAGAAGCAGCCCACGATGAGGTCCTTGTGCCCCCCCAGGGAGTAGTAGATGAGGTTGGCCCAGCGCTCTGCCCCAAACACCCAGGTGGACATGTCTTTGCTGCCCACAGCGAAGCACCTGCCACAGACTCAGGTCAGACGGGCCTCAGACGGGCCTCAGACGGGCCTCAGACACACTGGAATATGCTTCATAACTCTGAGGGTTTGAGGTTAGGTTTCCATCCATGGTATATGAGAAACTGTATTATTCAAATCATTAAAATAATAACAGTACATTTTATTTAAAAGCCCCATTCAAGAACATCCAAGGACACTGCACAAACACTGAAAAAAGTGAAATTAGAAACATTAGCATTATAAAAAACAGAGGACAACAGAACTGGACAGAGGTGTGACTGGTCATGTGACTGGTCATGTGACTGGCCATGTGACTGGTCATGTGACTGGTCATGTGACTGGCCATGTGACTGGCCATGTGACTGGTCATGTGACTGGTCATGTGACTGGTCATGTGACTGGCCGTGTGACTGGTCATGTGACTGGTCATGTGACTGGTCATGTGACTGGTCATGTGACTGGTCTGTGGGGAAAGAAAGTCTTAAAAAGGTGAGTTTTGTGTCTGGATTTGAACAGGGAAGAGAGTCTGCGGAGGGGGGGTATTGATTTCTTATCGACTTCAGCCTCAACCCTCTTCGGTCAGACACTTTTGGGCAAGATTTTTGAAAACCTGTGACCTAAGATCAAAGGTTCATAATGACTGTAGAAATAAACCACTGCTGCATTAGAACCATCGGGGGTCCTCACTTGGAGTCCGTGGTCCAGTCGATGCAGGTGGTCTCGTCGTACGGGCCGTAGTAGCTCTTGTCCAGCACGAAGGCGTTGTACTCGCGCTGCTTCCCCGGAGCGTGGTACATCAGAGCCACGTTCTCTTTGGTCACCACAAACTTCCTGCAGAAGAACAAAGACAATTCACTAAAGAGGTCATTGTTTCACCCACACATTTTCTTCTCAGTCTGAGCAGAGACACACACACTTCCTGCGGCTCAGCGTTCCCAGACCAGCTGAGGTCCTGGGTCCTCCCCATAACATCTGCCTGTTACAGATACCCAAGCACCTCCACTGGCTCCTTCTTTAACGTGGAGGAAGTTATCTGTATTCATATTTTTTCCATTCTCCCCATTCACTGCGATGACAGAAGTGATCGAAGCCCCCGACCACCACATTCATTCACTCACTCACTCATTACACTCGGACTTATTGTTCACGTTTTTAGTGGTAAACCTGAATGGAGGAGAAATCCACAGACACAGGGAGGTCCATGCAAACTCCACTCAGAAAGCTCCTGTCTGAAGGTGGGATCTCATCCAGGAGCTTCTTGCTAAGAGGAATAAGTGCTAACCTCTGTGCCGCAGAATAGATGTGGACATGTACCCCTTGGTAAAGCCCAGAGTAGGTTGAATCCAGTCAAAACTGTTTTAAAATCCATGTTGAAGTCGGGTGAACTTAAGTGGCCATGTTTTCTATATTTCACCACAGTTCAACTAAAATCTACTATTTTTACTGTTTAATACATCCAGAGAGTAACTGTGTTCTGACCTCCCGTCCGGAGAGAAGCTGATGCTGTGGACAGGTCTGTGGAAGTGGAAATGATGGAGCACGGCCCGAGTGATGAGGCTGACCAGCAGCGCAGCGCCATCTACAGGAGAAACACCTCAGCTTCAGTGAAACGCAGCAGATTAGTGTTTCAGTGACCGTGTCTTTACCTTCATCCACAACAATGGCCAGACTCCCGTTCGGAGACACGCCCACACATGTTATGTTCTTGGTGGTGGAGATTGGCAACGTCTCGGATGTGTTGCTAGAAAATAAATAGAAAATAATTAAGAGTAATGATAATAATAACAGTACACATTTGCTGAATTGCAGAGCTTTACATATGCTGCATCATTTTAGTCATAACAATACTGTTTTTTTTCTATAGTTCTTTTCTGGACACTCAAGACTCTTCACATGGCAGTACTCATTCACTCCATACACAGAGGTGATCGACTGTAGCCACAGCTGCCCTGGGGCACAGTGACACACACGTTCTTACTTTTTCAAATCAAAGATGGAGATCCTGTTTCCCACTGGACTGATGACAGCGTTCCCATCTCTGGAGAAGTTTAAGTTTCCCTGTCTGTAAACTGCTCCGAGCAGATTGGAAAACTGAGGAGACAGTTACAAGTTTACTCCTGCTCAACATCACACAGACAGAACATTTAACCCAGTTTCCACACGCCCTCCTTGATCCTCGCCTCTATTCGACCTGGTGGTGTTTCCATGACGACGCTGTAATATCTGGTACCGTATCCTAGCAACCTGCCCACAACAAACCAGTATCCGTGGAGATGTCTTGGTAATGGCCCCCAGTAGCACTCTGGCCAATCACTGTCAGTTAGAACACGTTAGTACCAGCCCGGCCTGGATAGAACCAGGACCAAGAGGGACTAAAGAAGGACATGGTACTGGTTACACAGGGCAAATGGAAACGTTCCCAATCAGGCTAGAGTAGAGTAGAGCCGAGTACAGTAGTAGAGCTGGTGGAAACGGGGCTAATAATACTCCTGAGTGCGTTCAGCTTCAGAAGTTTGTCAATACAGTTACACTTACCCGATACGCAAACTTCATCTTTGTCCCCTACTCACGCATGCGCACGAGTAATCAGAATGACATGAGTTCACCGCTCATTATTAAAGCACATGTGGTTTATTCAGCTCTATTCCTTTACCCACACGTGCAGCACGGAGCAGCCGGTTTGTTGACACTCTGCACTTCCGCTTACCCACGTGGGACAGAGCGCGCCCTCGTGTGGCAGGGAAGAGCATCGACAACAAAGCCCCATTTCCACCTGCTCTGCTCTGCTCTGCTTTACTCTGCTTTACTCTGCTTTACTCTGCTTTACTCTGCTCTGCTTTACTCTGCTCTGCTCTGCTTTACTCTGCTTTACTCTGCTTTACTCTGCTTTACTCTGCTTTACTCTGCTCTGCTCTGCTTTACTCTGCTTTACTCTGCTTTACTCTGCTTTACTCTGCTTTACTCTGCTTTACTCTGCTCTGCTCTGCTCTGCTCTGCTCGGCTCGGCTCGGCTCGGCTCTGCTCTGCTCTAATACATCTGGTTGTATTTCCATTGCGCTTTAGTATATGGTACCGTATCTTAGCAACCTAAGATCCCAATCACTGTAAGTTAGAACACTTTAGTACGGCCTGGATAGAACCAAGACCCCACCACCATCCCCACAACTAACCTTGACCCCCCTGGAGATCCAGGCCGCCCCCACACCTGCACATAGCCCCCCTGGAGGTCCTGGGCTTCTCCACACCTAACCTTAACCCCCCTGGAGATCCAGGCCGCCCCCACACCTGCACATAGCCCCCCTGGAGAACCAGGGCTTCCCCACACCATGGACCCCCCTGGAGATCCAGGCCGCCCCCACACCTGCACATAGCCCCCCTGGAGGTCCAGGCCTTCCCCACACCTAACCTTAACCCCCATGGAGATCCAGGCCGCCCCCACACCAGCACATAGCCCCCCTGGAGGTCCTGGGCTTCTCCACACCTAACCTTAACCCCCATGGAGATCCAGGCTGCCCCCACACCTGCACATAGCCCCCATGGAGGTCCTGGGCTTCCCCACGCCTAACCCTAGCCCACCTGGAGAACCAGGCCCTCCCCAGACCTAACCCTAACCGGCCTGGAGGTCCTGGTAGCCCCCACACATGAACATAGCCCCCCTGGAGAACCAGGCCTTTCCCACCCCTCAGCCTACAAATCAGTCTAAGTGTTTTGCCAAAAAACCTAAGTGTCTATGCTGTAGTACTGGGCTCGCTGTGGCCGAGTGGCAAAGGCGATGGAATGGGGAGTCATTGAGGTCCTCCCACGCAGGTTCGAATCCTGCCCACAGCACTTAGAATTATTTTCACATTTGCTTGGAGCACCAGGCCTGTGATGGCTCTATTTCAAGCCGTACTTCAGGGCTTTTTTCGGGGTTAAAACCTCCGAGGACCCCCCCTGGGTCTCAGGCTTGCCAGTGCTGCATTTATGCCCGGATTTCTGAGCTTTTTTCGGGGATAGAACCTCCACAGAATCCCCTCGGTTCTGGGACCCGCATGGCCCTATTTTAAGCCGGATTTAAGGGCTTTTTTCGGGGTTAAAACCTCCAGGGACTCCCCTTGGTTCTGGGACCTGTCATTGCTCTTTTTCAAGACAGATTTCATGCGCTCTCTCCCGGGGAGAAATGCGCCCACCCTTATTCTTTGAGAATATGTGTGCACTTGTTTTCAACTCCTAGTGGGTTCCATAACCTGAGATCCACTCACGTCATGGGGACTGGTTTTACGTGGTGGGGCCCGAACACCGGACCCCACTGGTCCAAGCTTAATAATCAATGGGTAATGCTTTTCTAACGGTCCTTATGCAGTCTCTGTAAAAATATGGAAAGGACCCCTGGAGGTTTACTTTCCTGAAAAAAGTGTGTTATGTGTCGGAACCCTGGTGGTGGGTTGCGGGATATCAAGGAGGGGCACACTGGGGCAATTTCAGTCCAGCAGGCTGGAGCCAATCATGGAGCAGCACAACAGAGGAAATCAGGTGTCAGGCTAGAAAAAGGTGCAAGTGTGTGGTTCATTAGGCTGCAAGAAATCACAGAGCAGCACACTGAAGCGCACGCTTACAAACCACTGGTAAGTGCTGACTACAAGTCATGACTTCAAATTGTTATATAGAATGATTACAAATTATTTGTTGTTTGTGCAGCTTAGTCAAGAGTCCCTAATTGATGAAGTCGACTCAGATTCTGACGATTTAACTGTCAAGAAGAAACCTGTAAAAAAGTATGGAAAAAGCAAAATCAAAAACACTTTTCTTCAAGACTCGGAAAGTGAGGAACCAAAGGCAAATAAGATTGTTATCATGCAGCTGCAAAAGAAGAAAAATGGGGGCAGGGTTTACAGCAAGAGACACTTCTGCCTCTACTGTTCAATGTCCTGCCACAAAATGTCCCGTCATTTGACTAGAAAACATGGAAATGAAAGTGACGTAGCCAGAGCATTGGCTCTACCTGTGAAATCTAAAGCACGTAAACTTCAGTTTGATTTGATCAGGAATAGTGGAAACCGTGAGCACAATTTTGAGGTTTTAAAGGCCGGCATTGGAACTTTAGTCCCAGCTAAACAGCCAAATTGCCCAGTTAAATCCAGTGAGTTTTTGCACTGTATAGACTGTGGGGCATTGCTTAAGCGAAAGTCGCTGTGGAGGCATGTGGCCAGGTGCCGGCTTTCACAGAAAGATGCCCAGGCTAAACCAGGCTAAACCAGGCTAAACCAGGTAGAAGTAGGGTCCAGTCCCTCTGCTCCCTAGCCCAGCCTGTACCGGAGGGCATCAGCAAAAAGCTGTGGTCTTTAATTTCGGCAATGCATCAGGATGAGGTCACGGGTGTTGTCAAAGCAGAAAAGGGGATTCTGAGACTCGGAGAGCACCTGTACTTAAAACACGGGCATGATAAGACTAAGCATGATTACATTAGGCAGAAAATGAGAGAAGTCGGTAGGTTAATTAACGAAGCAAAAACCGCAGGGAAACTGAAAACAATTAAGGATTTCTTTATTCCTTCCAACTTTAACCATGTGATTGATGCAGTCAGGTCTGTGGCTGGATATGATGAGGAAACAAATCAATACAAGACTCCATCCTTGGCCCTCAAACTCGGCCATAGCCTCAGAAAGCTAGCAGATATTCTTGAATGTGACTCAAAAATGGAGCATTGTGTTGATGAACTATTTATTAAAAACCTCCAACGAAGCCGGCTGCTTTTTGAGAAGAGGTGGGACGTCTGTGTTTCTTCTGCTGCCCTACAGACCCTCCGGCAAGCCAAGTGGAACACTCCGGACCTGCTCCCTCTGACTGAGGACGTTAGAGCCATGCATGCACATATTGAGGTATGTCGACCTGAATATGTGCAAACCCTAATAAGTGAGCCAACGTCTAAGCATTGGTCTAAACTGGCAGTTTTGACTCTTTGTGAGGTCATCATTTTCAATCGAAGAAGGGAAGGTGAGGTTTCAAAGATGCCACTGACAGCCTTTACCTTAAGAAGTAAGACTGGGATCCATTCTGACATTGCTCTGGGACTGTCCCAACTTGAGAAAAAGCTGTGTCAGCATTTTCAACGCATTGAAATTAAAGGGAAAAGAAGTCGGAAAGTGCCGGTTCTTTTGACTCCTGAAATGATTGCTTCGATGGAGGTGCTGGTGGAGAACAGAAGGGCCTGTTCCATCTCTGACCATAACCCATACTTCTTTTCCCGCCCGGGCGCAGACACCCACATCAGGGGATCAGACTCCCTACGGCAGGTAGCCAAAGAATTGGTGCGGTGCATCCAGAGATGCTATCCTCAACCAAACTTAGAAAGCACATAGCTACTATGTCTACAGTTCTCAATATGAAAGAGAATGAGATGGACATACTTGCCAACTTCCTCGGCCATGACATTCGCATCCACAGGCAATATTACAGACTACCAGAGGGGACACTGGAGCTGGCCAAAATCAGCAAAGTGTTAATGGCCAGAGTGACGGAATTCAAAGGAAAGAGCCTCGACCAGATACAAATTGAGCCTGAAGGTAATTCTTGATATTATTAAAATATGTATGATTTTTTTCCCCTAAAGGCCACTTGTATTTTTATTTTCTGTGCGACAGGGAGAGCAGTAGAGATCCTCTCACAAACGGACGGGCTAAAAGAAACTTCAAGCGGAGAACCTTCAACCATTCATCCAGATGCACCCCATGGTAGTGGCAGTGCCCCTTCTGGTAAGTGTACCAGGTGGGGGATTACAGCCAGGCTGCTTGGTCCTAACCCTGGGAGTGTATATTGCTAATATATTTTTATTTCTCTCCCTAGAACGTGTAAGAAAGCCATGGTCTGCATCTGAGGTGAAGGCTGTGGAGAAGACCATGACACCTTTCATACAGACTGGAAAGGTCCCTGGGAAGTCTCACTGCCTGGCCTGCATTAATGCCTCACCAGATGACCTTAGACATCGGACATGGAGTGGCATTAAATTCTATGTCAAAAATAGAATCACTGCAATTCGAAAAAAAAATCTAAAATAAAATTCCTTTAAAAGAGTTGTTTGTTTTCTATTGACTGTTTTGTATTACTTAAAGTAGTCCCAGTAAAAAAGATTATGTCTATGGGTCCCATTCTGAACGGCCCTGTCAAAGCCACCAGGTAACAAAAACGTGTATGTGTGTGTCTGTGTGTGTGTGTGAGAGTGTGTGTGTCTGTGTGTGTGTGGGTGTGAGTGTGTGTGTGTGTGAGTATGTGTGGGTGTGTGTGTGTGTGTGTGTGTGTGTGAGTGAGTGTGTGTGTCCTTTGTCTTTTGTGTTTGTATTATTTTCTATGAATTGTGTTACATAGTTTGCTCTACTGTCTGACTTACTGCATCTGTCATTTTGTGCAATTTTGAGGACCCCTCAAAAACGAGATGTTTCATCTCTAGGGGCTTATCCTCCAAACAAATAAATTAGAAATGTAATATGAGCAGCATTTGTGGGTGTGGTTGTGTTGAAAGTTTTAGAGTAAACCCTAACCCACAATGTTTATTTCTTACTTTTTTGTAAAAATCATTC